AAGTGTTCACAACCGTTGGCAAAAGACATGGAAGAATTATGAAGACTAAGTTCACACGCTTTGAGTAATGTGTATGGTGCACATGTGCTACACACAGCCGGCGGAGACGGAGGCGCATATGCGGAATGGTATCGTATCCAGAGAGTTCATCAGATTAATTCAAAATAAATGTGCTTTCACGATATAGCGCATGTCCTTGTGCAGGCTAATCTAGAGTGAAGCCGGAACCGCCAGCCACTTAAGCTGAAACTGCAAGGCAATGCACTACGAAAGCGAGGACATTCCCGGAACTTCTCAAAAAATTAATTGCCTGAAGCTCAACCCAGTCAAGCTGTGATTCCATATCCATTGAGAGGAATGTTTTTGACATTGTTCATGACACGCGCAAAAAACGACAGGTGCTCTGCAACGTGACGAATCCATCACCTTGAGTGTTTCACTCGCTTTGATAATTCATTCCAGTATTCAATGCTCAAGCACTCAATGTGTTAAAGTTTGGGAAACGTTCTATAGTGAATGACCACACGGAGAACTCTTTATAAGACTTCCAGTCTTTCGAACTTGTGCCTGCAAAGCTCCCGATGTTATTTAATCTGTCTGGTAAAAAGGTGCTCAATCAGCTTTAGAATCACCGCTGTCCGCTTGCAAGGTTCTGCAAGGTACAAGGCCGTTTTGTTTGAAGATGTTCAAGGCGGAAATGGTAGCATGAACAATAGCCGAGTGGAATTGATCGAATTTGACAGTCTTGGTAAGAAGAAAATGTTAAGCCCCCTATGTAGGTACGTTCACAAAGGGAATGGACGTGTGAGGGGACGTTCATATCTTCCTGCTAGATCTGCATCTTTTGCTACCCATCTTTCGGATACTGTACCGCACTTATGCTGGCATTTCATAACCATGAACTCAGGTTTTATTGTTTTGTGCATATGAGCGCGGTAACTTCGGGAAATCATCGCCCATTTTCAGTGTCATTTACCATTCCATAAACTTGATGAGAAAAATAGTAGAGTTTCTGAGGATCTATTAAAACAGTGCTGTGCATTTTTTTGTAGGACAGTAATATGGAAGCTGTTGTTATACCCTTACTCGTAACCATAGTTGCGATAGGGAGAGTGATGGATCTTATCCCTTTCACTTTAAGGCCAAACTCCGGATGACCCCCTTCACCTGGGCTGAGATTGCTATTGTACACTGAGAATATAAAATAAGAATGGTTATAAAAAGGTTTTGCAGGCTAAGTACCTCAGACAACAAGTACACTCATAAATCTACAAAAGAAACGGTATTTATAATTATTAATATCATTTACTTATCAAAAAGCATCTACAGAAGCACAAACTCTTTCCGAGCATTCATAAATACGTCCCTAAGCGTTACAGTTCCATGAAAATTAGTCAGTTTTATTTTAATAATATAATCAACACTTCTTTGTATTAAAGCTGCAATTTCTTTTGGGTATATTGCCACGGTAAGTGAGGACACAAAATCAGTTGATTTTTGAAGTACATAAAATCCCTCATATCTCGCGGCACAGAAGACCTAGAAAAAAAAGTCGACGGTCTATGTCGATATTCCATAATCTCAGCTTTTGAATGGTGTAAATCTTGTTAGGGCTTCTTTGTTTTCCGGCTCTAAAAAACATTTGCTCCGGTGACCCATAGAAGCCAACACAAGGTACCGTGGGATGGGATGGGCGGGGCCAGAGAATACAGGAGATGAGCGCTGCTTCCGCGTTGAAATTTCGGGGGTTAGAAGTGGTAGAGAAAGATCGGACTTTGGCCGATAGGTTCCATATGGGGGCTCCTACCCTGTAACGTGGTTTTGTCACGGGTCTCATTCTGCCGATGAACTGCCTTTAAGCGTGTTTGTCTGCGGTTATGCTATAAACTCACCTAATTGTAGAGAATGGTTGGTTTCAATGAATCAAAAACTTTGAAGCATTCAGGAGAACAGCGTGTCATTGAAATTCTTCAGGTTTTGGAAAGGTTGGCAGTTTGAAGAAGAAACGGCAGGCAGAATACTTTACAAAATCGCAAATGACTCAATGTGTCCAGTTCAACAGCGAGGCAGAAGGAGAATCTTACGCCGACAAAAATGTTGTCGACATTAATACAGAGTTGACAATTGAGCGAAACTCTCTGATTTCGTACATAAGGAAACCAAGCAGATTGCCTAGTTTCAATGAGGAAATGTCCAGGAAGTCTATTGCTGATCTTCGGGTTGCTAAAAATTTCAACTGCTAAATTCACGAGCATGGATATGAACAAAAGGAAGGTGTTAGTACAAAGCATAGCTACTGCTCTTAGATCGCGACTGGAGTACAAACCCAACTCTGTGCTTTATGCTGCTGGAAGATTTTCGCCTTGCGACATTATGACCAGGGTCGAGCGTGGGGTCAGGCGCGCCCGACCTGGGGGTCGTATTGATGGTAAAACTGAAGGAGGGGGTCGTAATTGAAAATCGAATTTGTTCAGTTGGAGAACAACGAAGGTGAAGAAGAAATGCGCTAGTCCGGTGGATATCGCGATCACCTAAAAGAATGACGGTCGTTAACAGCATACTGATTGTTTCCACAATCGCAGTTAGCCAAAAATCAATTTTCATATGTTATCTTGACAGATCATGAGGTCGGCAAGGAAGCTTGCTGTGTTAAATGCTAATCTTTTCCGTAATAGCATGTCAAATTACCTCCATGCGCTCTACAAACCATTGCCTTTGCAATTTCTAGTATTTCTCAACGTCCAAAAACGTGATTTTCAAACACGATTAACTTTTTTTCAAAAGTGAAAAATGTAAGCTTTTCTATACTCACAACAAAGTAATGTTCACTACAAGTCTATGCTACAAAACAGGCTTCATATCGCTTTCAAACAATGAAGTAAGAAGTGCTGCTAAATTTCAAACCGTCGCGTTCTTCACATTAAGTGCTTTAACTCTACGGATTACTACAAGGCCGAAAAAAGCTCAAGCACTTATTGTGGAATCTTCGAGAGTTGTGCTAGCGAACTACAGAAAACTTGGATAGAAGAGCTTCCACGAAAATAAAGTTGATGGGGTCAGGCGCAACCCCTCAAAAAGTCAGGCCGCCTGAGATTTTGTGGGGTTGCGCCTGACCCCATTAACTTGTCTTCATTATTCACAAATCGCCCTTTTTTAATATGAGTATTGAGCACAAAGCCTCTTCTTGCTATATTGAAAATTTGGAGCCAAACACGCCATCCCTGCAAAAATTATAGCTCTGAAAAGAGGGCTATCGAGATCCAAAACTTGCCGTCAAGTTGCGTGTAGTTGTGCTCGCAGAAAGCCGGGCCTACAGACGTTTAAGAAATAGAAACCTGCATTGAAAGCTGGTCTTCTTCAAAAGACAACACCCTGAGGACGTGGAGGTGAAGCGGAGGGGTCGTTTAGGGGCTTTCACAGGGGGAGGGGGGGTCGTTTTTGAAGGACTTGTGCCCGACCTCTTGCTCAACCCTGATCATGACCTATGATATTGAAAAAACCAACGCGCAACATAGTATCTACTTTTTGGCTATTCCGAAGATGCTGTTGAAGAAGAAGTTGAGCAGCTTTCTCATCAGCTAACAAGACGCATACCAGAGGAGGTGAAGCAAGAATTCGACAAGGCCCAAAAAAGTATGCAATATTTCCTTCCCGTGTTGCGAAAGCATATGCAATCTGGCTCTTTCCCCATTACTTACCGCAAAAATCTGATAGACTTACTGCAAAGCTAGTTTCCATTCCGACTAGTACGGCAAAGATGGAGAGAGGATTTTTTATCTACTCTCTTATCAGAACACAACGCATCGTACAATTACAACGGTGGAGCATCTAAGCAATTACTTAAGGTTTGTCAACCTTTTACTAAACATATTGTTATCTAAAAACTTCATTTAAAGGATTGCCGTAAGTGGTCCAGACACGCTGTCACCTTATGATTCTTTGAAATATCCTAAGAGATGATACGAAGAAACTGCACCTACCTGCTGACTTTCCTGCTACCAGAGGGCCAGGAAAAAAATCACAAAAGCGCTTAGAAGAAGAACGTTTCAAATCCATTTTCGACTCAGAACGCTTTTTCACACAATTCTACTTCTACTCCGATGACCTTTTGAAGGAAGAAAAGATCTCCCAGGCAGTGAAGTTGTTATCTTTGACGTTAGCGATAGTGATATTGTTGATGATGATGTGCAGGAATTGCAAATTCTTCCTAACTTGTACATCTTTTGGGATAAACCTTAATGCTTTCGTTTTTGTTGATGCAATGAAACAGGGGCACAGATCCTCATGAAATCACAGTATTCAAACTTCAATTATGTAAGATACATTGGCGCAACATATTGCTAACACATGACAAAGTTTGTTCAGATAAATGTGTAACGCGTCCCGCTTATTCTGCCCCATCGCAAGCATGACCTAAGTAAGGTATAGGCTGTTGCATGACAAGGCGCAATATCTTTGAACGCGAATGCGGCTTTATTAGCCACAGAGCGCATAAGGCGCAGGATTTACAACGGTGAAGATACGCGCGCATCGCATTCGCGCCCGCTCAACTAATATCTCTCCTGCCCCTTCGTCATGCAGTAGCCTTTACAAATTAGAGCTCTTCATACCAAGCTTTATTACCTCCCTTCACCCTGGAAGGTTGGAAACAGTCGAGACCCCCTTCACCTAGGGAGAGCCGGGCTCCCCCTATCGCACCTATGCTCGCGACCATTGGTTTATGAGAGGTCATCATTTTGGAATTTCATTTTTATTATCTTGCGTAGGACATGCTAGATCCTCAGCATAACGCCCTTAAAGGTTGAACGAGAAGGAAGTTTTTCTAAACACGTTTTCCATCAGAAGCTTCTTGTCTGAGTATGAGATTCAAAAGGAAATTTTCACAACAGCAGGAGTGCAGCAGCTATTTTTAGAACTTTTTTAGCTATTTTTAGTTTTTGTAGTAAACAATGAACGAGAGATGCATTGACTCAATTTTCTTATTTGGAAGTAATTAGTCCTATTTTGCACGCTATTATTTGCAAAGATGCTTCATTTAATCATCATTAAGGTCTGGAAATGACAGGTTCAGCTTGAGTTGTCTATTAAAAACCTGCTTATTTCTTCATGTACAATAATCCAGTATAAGGATAGTAGGGGTAGGCGTATCCGTAACCGTACAATAATGGATCGTATCCGTAACCATAGGTAGGCGTAAGCCAATTCACGAATCCATTTGTTAAAGGATAACATTTGGCAATTTGTTTTTTTGGCTAAAAATAGTACTGTTGGACGCATAGATTATGTTAATTAGACTCACTGCAGCCATGACGTAGTCCATATCCCAAGCAGCAAGAAGTAAAAACAGAAATCTGTAATAATCAGTACGATAGGTCAACTGAGGTGTTTGATTTGAATAGCGTGATTCATGAAGAACGTGTTCACAGTTGAAGTGGCCTTTCCAGATAGAATATATAACTTTCAAAAAGTATTGAGCGCTGATGAGCCTGTCCTCGTCACCTTCCCGGCTCTTTTGAACGCATAGTTAAGGGTTATTGAATGCGCAATCAAAACAAATTCGCTTAACGCATTCACGGCAATACGACCCACCGGTGGGTTGTAGCTTTTTGAAGTTTTTCATTTTGCTATCTCACGGTGAAACTTTTTGGGCAAATCAAGTAAACTTCTATGTATCTTTTAGGGTACTTCCAAAAAGACCACCGAAACCTATCAGTGACCTGAAAATGTTAGCAAACTCAATTTTGAAAGATATGCTCTGGCCCAAAATGACAGCTATCGAAAGATCGACCCTTCGTGAATGTGATAAAAGAGGTCAAATGGGTCAGTGTCAAATATCAGGGCCCTCTACTAAATGAATAAATTTTTAACAATTATGTTCATGCAATACTGCTCTATTTGAGCGCTACGCCAACCATAACGACTAATTTTAGGCTGGCCTTATCAAATTTCGCAAAATAAGCTCATATTTTGTGAAGAGCCGTGTAGCAGATGATACAGAGGATACAGCTTCAATGCTTTCAAATGGTACATCATTTATTTGGAAAAGCCACTCAAACTAAGAACCTTTATTGTCTGTTGAACATTAGTTATTTTAAAAATAGGAGAACTCACAGTGTGGCGCTCATGATTATGAAATAACCAGTGCGTGCCTATCCTTTATAATCGTGTAAAGATCAGCATCACATCCTCAATTTGACTATCACTAAAGGAACAAGATCTGTATAAATATACAGTGTGTCCAAAAAGTGTGCACGCTGTTTGATTGTTAATAACTCTCTTGCATAGAAGTCTTTTGTTAAACATTATGCACCATTCTGTTAACCTGGCTTCAGCTTAGATTCAGGTATCCTGCTTCAGATGGGAATTTAAACAAGCTAAAATTTTTGTACTAGATTAATTAAGGTAATTGTATAAGATGCAAAATTGGCATTCTACGGCGATGCTTTTTATTGAGTAATTCCAAATATAACATAACAACGGTTTTTACGATATATGTCAGAAATGGAACTACATCATTGAAAAAGCTCAAAAATTGTGTAGAAATCAACATATGTGATAACTCTGCTACACAATTTTTCGGATAATTTAGAAACATTTTGTCAGACGGCTTATCTTACAATGGTTCTGTATGCTGAATTTTCCACCGTGATTCCACAGTAGTGAAGATCGACTGGTGATTCGCTTCGTACTGTATCTTTGAGTTGAGATCAGCTCTACAGAATGGTGTACAAAAATTGGCGGAGAAATCAGAACAGGAGAGTTTTCTACATCAAACATTGTTCACATTTTTTGAGACATTTTGTATAAGGTGAAGTTCAAGCGAACAATCTTCTAGACATTTTGGGGGATAACTGGTACTGTTTCCAAACAAGCTTACAATGTCACTAGTGCTGAAATAGAGAAGTAGACATGTAAAAGACATCTGAATCAACTGCATGCTTTCAACGCCCTCTAAAATGGATAGGACAAAAATTTGAAGCTTCCCAAGAATGACTTAGATCTTAAGTTTTCTAATAGATGCATCAAACGCCAATTTTCGATAAGGATCAGTCATATAAATCTAACAATAAGAGCACCAAAGCAGTGGTGGCATCGTAGACCCAGAAGTTTTGATACAATTACATGTAAGTGAAAGCGCTGCTTACACTTTTCAATTAATAATGTCAAAACATCTTTTGTTTTTTTTACGAGCTAACTAACTAAACATCGGTGTAAATAAGTTCCTTTCAAATCTCATAGCCTTCATAACCGGCCTGCATGTTATGCTTGTACGGCTAGCTAGTAGGCTCTAGGTATGGGGTGTGGCTTGAGCTCTAGTTCTTATGAAAAAGTAACTGCTTTTGAACAGAGTACATGTACCTGCTTCAACCAAACGATTATCACCCTTTTTGAAGGAAATTTTGCTGCGCGATCATATTTTGCCAGCCAAAACCTACAACCTAATATTGGAAACTAGTGGTCTTCAGTCGTGAAGCCTTCAAGGGCTGGGCATATCCAGAATTTGGATTTTGTCGAAAGTCACCAACTTTTCAAATGAAATGAAATTTTTGCGATTAGAGATGATACGTTTTGAACTTTATTCAGTAACAAGATTTATAGGACTAATCTTTTGGTCCTATCCGCACCTATAATCAAAAGCTTCTGGTTCAGCTCCTAACAATGCAGCTGATACCACAATTCTAAACATTACATTCATCTTTTCCTATCTTTTGAATGTCGCCAAGATTTAGGTACATATTGGTGCATTGCTAAGTGCTCTTCAGACAGTGTTTTAACATGAGATTAATATTCTGGTCTCTAAGTAGTTCTACTGAATTACTACAGAGTCATCGTTTTATGCAGAGGTCCATACAGTCAGTTTCATCCCAAATTAGTCCGAATATACGACACGCAACGGTTTGCACAGTATCGCAACGTCAGTATATATCGTGGTAAGAACATAGGTCTGCGTCTCCTTTTTCCTTAAAGAAATGCAAGCGCTGTCCGCTCGCAAAGCCTACAGCGATGCGCAGCTCCACATGAGATGTTTTGCCTAGTCCGTGTTGAAACATACTACTGTAGTGGCGCCGAATGCTAGAACCATGCTCGAGTACGGTAGATTGACTCAGGATATATTTGAAGCCACTTGAGGTGGACCAGGGTCATAATCATAAGTTTTTATCACATTTTTCTGATCTTTCTGCACAGCTTTCAATTACATGCTAAATGTATAGGTTCTTTCTTGTATCGCCGTAAAATCCCTGCTCTACGCTTAGTCACAATCCCAAAAAAAATTTCGAATGAAGGCGCCGTCCTGCCCAGGTGTTCATTTGTGTTTGAGGTGGGTTGAGTATGCTTTGTTGTTTTTTTTCTCATCTTACCACTCAGAAGGCATTATTTTGCAGAGTCAGCGGAGACTTCAATTAAAAATCTTCTGATACCGGCTTAAGCACCTGAATTTGAACCAACTAGATCGTGACTTGCACGATAGCATGGCGCTTGTGTATCGCTTATCGATAAAAAACGCAGTGTTATAAATATAGACATTATGCCAGAAACGGCACTCGCAGATAAATTGGATCTTGTAAATAGTTTGGCTACAACCTGTTGACCAGTGACCTGTTGCAATGTTTTGCCATTTTAAAAACCATCATAAATTCGACCTTGATAACTTCACTGTCCGTTAACCATATAGAGTAAAACAGAAAAGATGAGATGCGTCGTAAGCAAAATCATTTTGGGCCATGAGTGCGTCTCAATGTAGAGAAAGCTTGTTCTCAAATTTGTTAGGTTTATTTCGCAACTATATTGCTATTACTTGCTTTTGCTTTTGCCTTTTTCGCATTCATGTTCCTCTTCCTTTCTGCAACTGCATTTCAATCACTTTTTAGCTTACAGTCCCCTTTGTTATAACACCTGCACATATCCAGACTGAACGCGTGATTGCCTGATATGTTGAATATATAACCGACAAAAAAGCTTTTGATTAGAAGCACAAAATGTTATGAAATAGCTATTGTAACGGTATGGTTCAAAAATGTGTAAGTTTTCAATAACGATGTAGAAACAAGAGAGCAGAGGGACGTATTTTCAAAGAAAATAACAGGAGGAAGTGAATATGATTTATCGGTACTTTTCCGTTATCCGGACCCATTTCTTCAAAAGGCTCTCATAAAACACGCTCTTTAATCTAGGAACAATTTTTCTACAGATACCACGAGGACTGCCTCTCTGCCATGTGTCGGAAAAATATTGACACATTTTGACCCATTTTGACATGTTTTTTCCTTTTCGAAATCATTTCGGTGAGGTAAAAGAATATTTGTGATTAAATAAAAGCGTTTAATCGGTTTCTATAAGAAAAATACAATCTAGAACTTAAATTAAAACATCTTCACCGTTTTCAACAATGATTCAGCATTGTCTTTCTCTTCAAACTTTTCGCATAGCGAATTTAGCCACAAAGGACTATAAATGATGGTTTGAAGTTCCTTGCTACAGCTTGTTTTGTCACTTAGATGGTAGGATCATAGCCCAGTTCTCTATTCTAAGCAAGTCTAATCTGTTTATTAATTACACAATGACGTTGTTAGGGTAACAATGTTCATTCTTGATACTGTTCAGTTGGAAATGAGGCCACTATTAGCTAAAAAACAGATTGTACTTACGTCGCTAGGTAGAGAAACTCAAACTCTTGTTTAAACCTGTTTAGGTGTAAATGACATGCCAAATTTTTTTGACACGTGGCAGGGGTTGACACTTCTTTCTGTGAAGTTGGGACCAGATATGGTGCAAGAGAAGAATCAATATTCTTTGAAAAAATGGGTCTGGATAACGGAAAGGTACCGATTTATCTCTACATGAAAATAACAGGATGAAGTGAATGTGCATGATCTTGAACTCTGGTAGCAAAACAGCTAAACTTGAATAGGTTTCATTAAAATCATCACTAATAATCTCTTTGTCTCAATTGGAAGGCTCTTTCCTCTAGAGCTTTGTTTAGTACGTCTGAGCCTGTGTTACATGCTGCCATCGCAGAGTCCGCAGGATTCCTAAATTTTACTCTCAACAAATTGAATATTCCATTCTACTGTGACATAGACTAACAAAAAAAGGAGCAGTCAAATTGGCTTTCTTCAGAGATGCATACTACCTTGGAGGGCATGCAACTCCAATTATAAACCTGTTTCCAATTTGTCTTCTGAATCTATCAAGCGCTGCTAGGCAAGAAGTTATGGTCGCTTATCAAGGCACAAACTCAAATGAGCGACATTTATGATATTTCCAGCATTCGAATGCAGCTTTCCTGAGTGCCTTTGTCAAGCCTCCCCCATGCGCAGATTCTACAAAAGTCACGGCTTTGAACTCAGGA